GAATCAAGCAATTTCTGACCCCACCAATGGGCGTGTGTATGTGACTTCGTCGTTAGGTTTCTGCTCATTCTAATGGACTAATTGTTGCAGAAACTACGTCGACGTTGCAACATCTAAAGCTCAAAACCTAACCTACGCGTCTGATAGCACCTTCATCCTGCGCGCTGATGCTACCACCGTCTTAAACGCGAACGGACCTGGTCGTAACTCTGTTCGTCTGCAGTCAAACAAGCAGTATGGCAGCAACACCGCTATGGTGTAAGTAATATGAAGACATTGAAGAGCTCGATGCTGATTTGTCCGTTCTAGATTCAACATTCGGCATATGCCACAAGGATGCGGGTTCGTAGTTTACAACATGAGAGATTTCACGCTGATTCAATGTTTCTTTCAGCACTTGGCCTGCGGTATGGACTGTGGGTCCTAACTGGCCCAACGGGGTGAGATCTTGTTGAGGCCCTATAAAAATCACGTGCTAACTAAAACAATTTTAGGGAGAAATAGACATTATTGAGGGTGTTAACAACCAAGCAAGCAATCAAGCAACTTTGCATACCTCATCTGGTACATTCATTCCGTTTTCCGTGCCCGGAACGGTTTCTTATATGAAATTTCAAGGATGCACAATGCCTAGCGGTTCACGCACTCAGTCTGGGTATTTGCGCTTTCTTCTCGATCAGCCCCAATTCTCATTGAAAACCTCTTTAGAGTTTCTCTGCAAAACGACTGTAATGTAAACACTAATAGTAACGCGGGCTGTGGCGTCCAGCTACAGAACTCGGTTAGCTACGGAGCGGGTTTCAATAACAACGGCGGAGGCTGGTTCGTCCCCGACTGACTTCTCGGCAACTACGATTAATTGCGAATTCTTAGGTATGCCTTGGAAAGGACTGACTCGTTCATCAAAATATGGTTTTGGGCCAGAAATGACCCCAACGTTCCCACTGGAGTCCGTACTGGTGGCAATGCCGTCATTACCGACAACTGGGTCAGTATTTTTCTTATTTGGAAATTCTATTGTCTCAAAGCGCCATAGGGAACTCCTGCTGCATATTTTCCGAACACTTCTTGCTCATTGACGAGTCATTTCAGCCCCCAGAATATCATTATCAATTGTAAGTGTCGTCTTATAACGCCCTTTTCGCGAGCTAACCTAGGCAAATTATCTCAGTGACTTTCTGTGAATAACGCTTTCTTTATTTCTCTCCCTCTTTGTCTCACAACATTCTTAGGCGGTGATTGGGCCGGAAACGTTTATGCAAGCTCTGGTTGCCCCTCCTCCTGTGTTGGTGAGTGAACCGCCTAAACGAAAGCAGCGATGAAACTAATCTCACATATCAATAAGACTTCGTCAACAATAACCCTGGTGCCTTTGCTAATGCTTACTTCGATTTTGCTTGGGTGAAGGTATATAGCTGATCTAACTTTGATACCCTTTTTATTTTTGTATACCTTAATGATGTAACGCGATGATTCAAGATATCCATGCCTTTTCTGACTTCTTCTGTTGCCATGCGGTGAAAGAATAACTGGTTTCAATAAAGACTGTTACAATACTGAAGAACAAGTACCCCGAAGTCCGAATGGGCCGAAAAGATCAAATGGAACGGTTGACCATGGGACAAGATCTGTCAACCTTTTAGTTTGTGAGCAATACCAAAAAATTTAGAAGTTCTGTCCGACCTAGCGTAACAACTTGAAGCCGGTTATAGAAAGAATTTCTCTCTTCTTATAGCTACATTAACAGATTTTATCGACGCATTGCATAGGGGGTAAACCCATATCAACGAAAACCAACGAACAATCAGAGAATATCGAAAGGACGTTCACTTAGTTCTTGCTTTGCTTCAACCATTATTACGTACTTGTGTATTGTTATGGGTGTCAGTTTCCATCACAAACCAGTTAAAGGCAGTACGAAAAAATAAATTATTTAAATAAAACAAAGTACGACTATCCAAACCTCATCATGATCATTTCTGATTCCTCATGACTACACATAACCTCCTGCCTTCGGCGCCCATACTCGTCCAATCTCTGCTTTCGCCCTGCTTTGCCCCGACCACCTCGTTTGCTGATCCACTCCACCCCGAGTACCTCGATAGCACTCCCGTCGTGGCCTGTTCCCCATCCGCAGCTCATCAATCCCCGTCCGTCATCCTCCTCGCCCTCGCCCTCACCTTCACCCCATCCACCCAGGAATCGGCCGATGACCTCCTCTTTGGAATGACCGATCTCCGGACCTCTTCCTGAAACCCGGATGATCCTTATACGTACCCTCAAATCGTTCCCTTCCTTCTTTGCCTTTCTTGCACCGCTATACGTGACCCAACCTGCGTGCACAGCGCACGAAAAGAGATCTGAATCGTCCGTGTAAACTCTCCTTTCCGAGTCACCTCCACCCCATATTTTGGTTTTCCCCGGTGGTGGCCGTGAATCGGGAAAGAATCCACTCGGCACGAGGACTTCAGCAATCCGCTCACAGTCCACGATGATTGAATCTTCTTCGCCTTCCTTCACTGGATTCGGTAAGGGCGGGAATTCCTCTTTGGGTGTCGGCGGAGGGAAATGAAAGGGGAATGGCACCTTGGGCCAAATGTATGTTCCCAGGTGTAGTTTCACCTTGCTTCGAACTGGGCGAGATAACCTCGGTCTCTTTCCTCCCCGAGAATCTCGTACCATCTCTCGCTCCCGTTTCTTGTTGGAATTGTCGAAGACAATCCCTTGAGGTCCTCCCACTGGAATACCGGCTGGACCAGATGCGGCCGGAACGAACTGTGTGTGGAACTGATTCTGGAATTGCCGCTGAGGAAGCGAGCCTGGTGCGAAAGGCTTAGGTGTATGGCGGTCCATACGTTCTCGGTCCATACGTTCCCTCTCCATGCGATCCCTCTCCATTCGTTCGCCTAATCGCTCAGCGCGCTCCCTTTCGTCAACGATTGACCGCGTAGAGTTAATGGGGGTAGGATTAATCGGTCTGGATGCTGTTTTGTCATCTGGAGGATAATGTGAGTGGTAAAGTTAAGAAGACACATTAAGAACACTGACCTCTTCTTGGAGCTGGCCCGTATGGCCCATCCATGCCAAGGCTCGCCATTGCTGGAGAGCGGAACACTTCTCTCTCTCTTTCCCGCTCTCTCTCCCGGTTCACGTCATGTATCGTGCGCCCTTGAGGGGAAACCCTCTCCCTCTCCCTTTCTCTTTCTCGTTCCCTTTCCCTTTCCCGCTCCCTTGCCTCTAATCGTTCCCTATCAATTGTTCGAACATCCATTCTCTCCCTTTCCCTCCTCTCTCGCTCTCTTCCACCAAAACCCCACCAGCCCTCCTCCCTAGGCCACGGCGCCCAACCTCCCGGTCCTGGCCCTCGTTCACGCTCACTTCGGGGCTCTCGAGGCACTTCTCTTGGTTCCCTAGGGACGTCACGTATTTCTCGGGGATCCCTAGGCAACTCGCGTATATCGCGCGGTTCTCGTGGCAAATCACGTACGTCCCGGGGCTCCCGTGGCAAATCACGTATATCGCGAGGGTCCCGCTGCAAATCGCGTATTTCTCGTGGTTCTCGAGGTAGATCGCGTATCTCCCGGGGCTCCCGCGGGAGGTCACGTATATCTCTGGCCTCCCTTGGTATATCTCGCAGATCTCGAGGCTCCCTGGGTGGTAATCTTTCTTCTCGGATCAAACTTCTTTCTCGTGTAGGTATACGAGGCTCCCGCGGGGGTATGCGCTCCATTTCGCGAGGATTGAGTCTGTCAATTTCGCGGGGTGGTATATCGCGTGGCGGAAGCCTCTCATCTCTGCGCTCCATGTCCCGGGGTGGTAAAATTTCTCTTGAGGTTCTATCGTCTCTCGGTTCGCGTGGTGGCATTCGTTCAATCTCCCGTGGAACCAACCTGTCAGTCATAAATGGATAATGTAGACGAACGGCACCGTACGACGTACCTAGTATCATCTCTAGGCTCGCGCAGAGGGAGTCGTTCCAATGGTCTGGACAACAGAGGGGTGAATATCCGGCATGGAAATTAAAGACATAGAGCTTGCCTGTCATCTCGTCGCTCTATTTCCCGTGGTACCAGTCTTTTTAATGTCAGGCAGATGGCACAAGGACAATGAGGAGATGATTACCTATCATCCCTAGGTTCGCGAGGCGGAGGTCGTTCGATTGGTCTGTCCACAAAAATTATTATAATACCTAATAATCAGCGAAAGGTCTTACCGTTCATTTTGTCGCTCAGCCTGTATATCTCGTGGTACGAGCCTTGCTTTACATTAGTGTAGGAATAGGACGGATTAGAGTCGAGCACACCTGTCATCCCTGAGCTCACGAGGTGGAAGCCTTTCAATTTCTCGAGGAACCAACCTAAAAGAATGGCTTTAATGACCGCACAATCTTTGAAAATGGAGTCCTCGCCTCTCGTCTCTTGGCTCCCGCGGAGGTAGTCGCGATTCCATAGTTGTTATTTCCCTTGGTGGTGCACGGTCACCAGCCTCCCTCGACAACCTCCGTTCTCTGTCCTCCCTTGGTTCCCTTGGAGGCTCGCGAACCATCTCTCTTGGTCCAGTTGGTGGTAACCTGGTCTCCACGACCCTGCCCCCGATACCAACACCTACATCAGGGAGACGAGCAGCACCATTAACAGCAGCGTCAGGTATCCGTCCTGAGTCAGACAGTCTCCCTCCGCCACCTACACCGCCCCCGCTACTACCACTACCATCGACAGCAACCCCAGGACCAGCCAACCTTGTGCTGCTCCCGCTAGCAGTTCCAGGCCGTCGATCGTCAGAAGGGGAATCTTGTAGTAGCGCGGCTACATTCATTTTGATGAGGAGGTAGTTTGGACTGTAAGCAGCAACACACTGCGAGTTGTTAGTGACGGTCGGCAGGCAAGAGGATCAGCGTCGACGTGAAGATGAAAATGAGGGAACTGGTAAACACGTGGCATCGGCCCGATCAGCCGTACTGACTAAAGAATACAATACATATGCCCAAATATACCATAGCTTCGGATATGGTGTAACGGCTAACATTGCCGCCTCTCAGGTTAATACGCGGCAGCTCGGGGTTCGATTCCCCGTATCCGAATTTTCTACTCAGTTCTTCTGAATTGTTTTTGACTCTTTGAGTTGACTCTTTGAGTTGTCTCTGGTGCTATGCTCCTAGGACAGACCTGCAACTTGGTAGGGTTGTGGACAAAAGCTTCAGGGGGCGTAACTCACGGTTTCTTACTGGCACCCCTTCCCAAGGGGGGTGTTTTAATACGGTAAGTTACTAACTGATAGTAATAGCATAACCTATCTGCATTCTGTGGAAAATGTCAATTTCCTATGGGGTGCATATTCTACCAACATCGAAATTTCTCTTCCTGCCGGCGCGAACCCCTTTATAGCCTCGACGGCCCTCGAGGATAGTCTGGTGAACCAGGAGCTTGATTGTTTTAAGTAACAAGTAACTTTGTAGCACGAACTCGTAACGTTAGCTCTCATTAGTCCCTCACCTACACTGCTTAGCTTCCCCCAAATTTCACACACACTGCCGGTTTTGTACACTTGTTAGACCACGTGTAAATAATGAAGGAGCACATTAAGAAGACCTCGAAGATATCCAGAGTTTCGGCAATAAGACATGGGAGCTGAAGCGCTTCGGATTGTCAAACATAAGTCGAAATAACACAAGTCGTTACGTGGGCATGTAAAGCGCCGCGACGCGCCCTGTGCACAGACAGAGATATCGCCCTCCCACCCATGAGGTAATGAAGTCAAATTCCTGCGCCGCGGACTTGAAATTTTTGTTCGTATATGTTACCGGGATTAACGTTGTCTGTCGATCAGCATCCGGGGGGGTAGGAGTGAAGGAGGTGGCGTCGACAGGATCATTTGATGTCGGTAACCAAGACTGGAAGAGACTCGATAAAGGCCGAACCGTGGGCCAGAAAGTTGACACGGGGGCGAATTAAGAGAACCTTTAACGTACTGTAACTGGGGGACAGGATAATGATCAGCGGGCCTCGCATGACGATGGCGGGTCCGAGGCGACATGCCAATTTTTAAGACGCCGGTCAGCCTTTACACTGTAAAGAAGAGACCGAAGGGTGGACGTAGGGCGGTATTCTTGAGCTTGCCTGACCAGAGACTGATTGTCCGTGGAGAATGTTATTTAATAGCTTACCCCAATAATCGTCTGCGAAAATAGCGAAAAAAAATGGTAAGAATCGCGACACCGAATCCAAGCTTGCTTGACTGATCATCCATGGAAATGAACACGAAAATATGCCGTGAAATAAATGGCCGAAAGAGCTTGCTTGACTTGCTGGTGTATGTTTGGAAAAGCGACTTCTCTCAGGATCCGCTCAGGATCCCGCCCCCTCGGTGATGTCGGGCGAGGAACGTGACCCTGTGGCGCAGTGTTTACCACTGACTTCTCCTTGCCTCGTTCACTCCGAGTCTGGGCTTGGCGCTTTGCCGTTCCATTTCTTCGAGCTTAACGTATCTCTCCCCAGTAAGCTTCCCGCTGATTGTCCTTTCTGTCTTGTGGAGCTCTTTCCCGCTCCTTGTCACAAGCTCGAACCCCAGGTATATGTCTCGCGCCAAACCTTTCTTGTCTCGCAAAGTTTTTTTACATTTGACCCACCCCTCCTCCGCGTTTGTACACAAGGCGCAGAAATTCCGTAAGTTTCACTTATGTTTTTAACTTGGAAGCCGCAGTCACGGGCAACCCAAATCTGATGTTTTGCGTTGTAATGGGTTTCTTTTCATTTGCAGGGATGATGACATCCATATGCCGTTCCGTGGAGGTTTCGACCTTTGTCTTCTGACGGTGTCTTGCCATCCGCTTACGAGGGAACCAGTTATCAGCGTTTATCCAAATCCTGGTCATGCCAGTGTTCAGGCGGCCCCCGTTGGGGTTTATAAAAAGTGGACAGACGCTAACATATCACGAATGTCTATTCTTTCATGTACACGCGGACCGCTTGATTTTCTGGAACTTACGACTCTCATATATCACCAATCACCGACACCAACGCAGATGTGCATATGTTGCGCCCCAATCATTTTAACCAACCTAGGTTGTCATCATGTTTTGCTTCTCTATTTTATCCAGTCTAGGTCCTCCCGTTTATTTTCGTCGAGGTGGCGCCGGTTTTCAACATGAAAGGTTATCATGTCTTCGGCGATTTGAGCTGTCAAGTTTCCTCCTTGATGGTCTTCTCCCGCATCGTCTCTATACACGTTTCCGGGTATGTTACTGTTGCCAACCATGTTGTTGACGGATGCTTTTTATCAAACTATTATAAGCCTCGATCCTCCCCCTCGTATATGTCGTTTCCATTATTCATACCCGATGGATGTCAGTTAGTCTACTAGAATGTCATGTACTGCTAACATGACAACAGAGTCTAAACATGTGTGGACTGGCCGCTGCCTTAGGCTAATGAGGTAATTCGAACATTCAGATTAGTTAATCCCGACGGTAATGGTAAGGACCTATGGAGACCTCGACGACAATTGTTGGTTGGTCCAATATAATTATCACGTAACGCAGGGTATGAATTGATAAAATTAGCAACACGCGCGCGTCTAAAGTTCTTCGAGCCTCGATCGGGAAATTTCCTATTATGTGGGTGCTTCTCGTCGTGCGTTGTGTTTTGGATTGATCAATATCAGAAGGTGAAACCGCGAAGAAAGGAGCGATGAAGAATCGACAGGAGGGAACTTATCGACGCTGTGAAACTTGGGAAATGAGCGTGAGCAAATGGAGCGACGTGGAGGGGAATGGCAGGATCATTTGATGTCGGTTCCTGGGAACGAGGATGGAAAGAGTCTATTTCGGCGCCGGCGTGACGGTGACGGAGGAAAAGCCCTATGGGGATAGACTGAGGTACGAAGATCATCAGAGTCGATATCTTCAAAATGGCATGGGCGGCGGGTAAGTAGGCAGAGGGGCTAGGGAAAAATAGACAGAAAGTCCGATGGACGGGAACCCGAAAATTGAGTGTGAAGTGGAGCATATGCATGGGCTTAACACGGACTCGATTTCAGCTGAGACAACGATGGATAGACAGGATATCGGGACACTACATTCCGAGTGACGGTGGTGAGTAATTGACGGTGGAGATAGTCATCGGTGGATATTAAGGGCCTGTCATTGGCAGTTCAATAGACAGAGTTCGGTTGGATGAAATAGAAGAAAAGAACAGAACAGAATAAAGCAAGGCAAAGGCAAGTCGTTGGTAGTTAAATCGGGGGATCAATACAATCCAGTTTAGGTCGCTAGCAGCCTAATTGAATGGAGAGACATGGGTATGGTACTGCGGCGGAACATGGGTGGAGATTTGGGATGGGTGGATGCTGCGATGAGAGCCTAAGACTAGCCATCATGTAGTCAGCAGGTGACTGCATTGGGTTGCCCTTTTTCCGAGAGTCCAGTCAGACATAGGAGCATCCGAATACGTACGCCTTCGGAGGCAGTAATTCAGCGAGACGTAGGCTCGATACCAGCCTGTTTCTTTTCTGGAGACCCACCTGGGCTGATGATCGTTTAATAGAACAATCGCTATATGGAATGGGAGTGGAGATTACCTGACAAGTGGCCCGATAATGGTGAAACGTGCAGCTCGAATGACGACTCATGAGTAAGTTTGGGATAGTCTTTTTTCTCGGAGAAGAACTGAATGAAAACACGAGACTAAATGGGCCTGGCTGCCATATGGAAGACCATCCCGCGAAGCACGTACGACTCGCAGATCGGTCCTGGACTGCTGTCGGATGACACTTCTCCGCTGGGCAAGTCGCCGGTAGTTACTTGAAGCTGAGGATCTGCTACGATTGTGTAAAGTCTAGGATCATAATTAATTATCGATTTGATCCGTTTCCTGTTTTGTGATCATCCGAGGAGGCGAAAAGAGGGCTGTCCGCGGGTTTAACAGCCTCAAATACAGTATATGGCTCTCTTTGAACTTTTCGAACTAGGAAGATGCTAAAAATAAATCATGTGACGCGCGTGACATACATATCCCGATAATATTTTTCATTTTGGCCTTTTCATTTTTGTTTCCGTCTGCGACAAACTCGTAACAGTTAACATAATGGCGAGCCGAATATGCAGCGGTCCGTTCATGTTAAATATCGTTATCCTTGCCATCCTCCATGACCATTTGCTTTGTTTCTCTGCATGTCGTCCCCTGCTGCTGCTCGTTCGCGCTCGACGTCCCGTTCCCCCGCCGACGTCGTCACCCACAGTGACAGCGGAGAGCGCGCCAACACTCCCCATGAACACTCGCCCCCGCCCCGACTCGACGTGGACACCCCGCCCGTCTCCACATCACCCCCGACGATCAAGCGCTCTGACTCCCCGCCCCCGACGCTAGGAAAGCGGCCTCGTGCGGCCTCCGTCTCCGGCCCTGACAATAGACCACCCGTCATCGAGGATAGGAAATACCGCGGCGACAGGCCCCTCCAGCCCTCAGAGTACGAGAGCGGTCGTGTCATATGCGAGACCTGCAGCACCAGCGTCTCCTTCCGTGACGAGCATAGTGGCGAGTTCACCCTCAAGCACTGGGATGCGCATAGGGTTACCTGGTCAGTCGACTCTGCCGACTATTTTTCACTCTCGTCGCTCATGTCTTATGGACGTGGTACAGCAGCGAGCCAAATCCAACACCGCCGCCTCCAACAAAGCGCCGTCGTGCCAAGCGTACTGAGGATGAACGCATCGACTATCTCCGGAATGACCCCTACGTCGCCCAGTTCGAGGCATACAGAGTACTGTGTGCCTCGTGCGACAAGTGGATTAGGCTCAGGCCGAACTCTACCTATTGTAGCATACCCTGGGACGCCCACCGTAAGAGCTGTCTCGCCAAAAAAATGTATGTATTCCATCGCGCCTATTTCCCACAAATATTCAATAAATTTTCTAGAACCTCTAAAAACACCTATGCTCTCGAACAGCGCAACGCCGCCTTCTCAAAGGATCCAGACGTCCGCAAATTTGACGCTGAGCGCGTGCTGTGCGCCCTATGCGACTGTTGGGTGCCCGTACCCGTTCCCGACGACCGTGAGCTCTGGGCTCAGCACCGTAATGCATGTCGGGCGCGCTCTCTCAGCCACCATCACCATTCCTCGTCCAACCAGAGTGGCAATCAACCATCGTCGTCGTCGTCATCATCGCAGCCTCAGCCGCAGCCGCAACCGCCTCGCCGACCGACGGATTCCCCGCCAGTCCAGGCCTCATCGCAACCACCGTCCTCATCCACTCCTGCTCACGAGAGTAGGAGACGCAACGCCGAACAACGAGCAGCTACTCTTCGCGCGGACGCCCTCATTCTCTCTGTCGAACCAAACCGGGTCTTCTGCAGCCTCTGTCAGAAATGGGTCCAACTCCGACAAGACTCGAGCTTCTGTGCCTATCCGTGGCTACAGCATCGCGGCAAGTGTTTAATGCGGAGGTACGGTTGTTCGAATCCTTGATTTATCCAGATCTTTATTAATCGGAGTTCCTGGATCTAGTCAAAAACGGGCGCAGAAGGAGCGCGAACAGCGTCACTCGACTTCGGCACCTTACCCTGTCCATGCGCAGCCACCACGGCCGCGTGTGGCTGAGGTGGAGTCGGAGGAAGACGAAGATGCGGAGGGGAGCTGGGACGAGGACGTCGTTGGCCCTCGTGTCGGTGGTTCGGTGTCATTCACACCGGCCCAACCGCCTCCCCCGAGAACATCGACGTCATCGCCTTCTTCCTATGTCGACTTGGATAGTCCCGATGGGAGGTGAGTGCATCATTCCATCGTTACTCATGCTACCGTAATTAATATCGATTGTGATGTAGGTTATCTCATATCCATACGTCTTTGATACACCTCTTCCGGACAACGTACTCTGTTCCTGATACGGACCTGACCGTGGCTGCTTTGGTTGGGTTTCTCAACGCAGGTATGCCGGAGGATCGGTGGGAGGAGTTTGATTTGCGCGAGGTTGTGAGAGGTGTTGGTATCCTGGCTCGCGAAGGCAGGGGGGAGAGGAGGGTCGAGTTAGAGGGTGATATCGTTAGATGGAGGTGAATCTCAACCCCGTCACCGCATAGATATATCTATTCGTGCTGTGCTCTTGTGATCTGTTTTGCTTTCGTTGTTGCTTTCTTGGAGTTTTGTAATCTGTGTATTATATACTGCATGTATCTTATTATTGGACTCTTATTGTTGTTACTGTGGATTTCTTTACAAGATATGTGTTGTGCGACGCAATGTTCAATTCTGCGAATTTGATTAGAATTTTGATTTAGGCAATTGATATCGCGCTCTTAAATATAAGGCATTGCAACCAAATTTTACGTATACGCCGATGGTGAAACGGTTATCATGCTTGCCTTCCATATTATGTATGTGTAGCAAGCGGTAGGGGTTCGACTCCCCTTCGGCGTATCTGATATGTATTCGGATTATCTTTTTAACCAGGTCAGGATTTAGCGCGTCGCGCGTTAGGGTTACGCACGAAACCTCCAGGGGGTAAGTTATGGTTTTATACCGACCCCTCCCCGAGGGCGGTGTTTTGATACGTATCTTACCGTTACATACCCCATCACGTGCAGTATCAGATGGCTGACGCGCAGCAATTAGATTTCTTTCCAGAATCTTTACCGTCGCGTTTTGTGTGTATTTTTCTCTCCCATGAGCTAGAATTGAATTGAATACATTACAGAACTGAACTGAACTGAACTGAACTCTACTTGTGTAAACAGACAATTATGTCTGTAGAGTTGAATATGATGATGACCTCGCTGCTCTGGTGCCATCACATGACAGGTAAGTTACCTCGATGAAAACCCCTCGGGCGTGGGGAGGTAACTTACCGGTCCGAAACCCTAGTGTATCAAAACCTAGGGTTTCGTGCGCAACCCTATCGCGCGTCGGATAGCCGGAACCCGATAAGCCGCTTTACTAGATAATGGTATGATTACGCACGAAGTGTCCAGGTTTTGTACTGACCTCTCCCCGAGGGGAGCATTTTGATACTGTAATTTACCGTTGCTCACCTTCTCACTTGCAATTTATTCATCTCATGGACTGTAATTAGTCGACTTCGCTGCTTTACAGTTCGTTATCGACATATATACATGAGCTTTATATAAGTAGCTATCCCTTCTACTTAGTGGAGTTGCTTTATGTATCGTCATATTCACATCGTCCTTCCTTAGTGACGCGTGCGGCTGAAGTCTCGTTCCGTAGTAAGGTTTTCAAAAGCAGCATGTCCAGATCGTTGTGATCACAAAAACCTCGCTTGGGCCATATTTGTCACTGGAATGACTGGATTTCTTTGTTCGCTTCGTATGACTCTAGCCCCCTGCGCTTACTTTAATGCGAGTTCCCGATGAATCCTTCCAAAGCTTTACTGTACGCCTTGCGCAACATTGTCTATGATTCTACATAGATTCTGCATGCTAGTCGGCGTATCTTGATGCATATGTATGCTTTGTGCCGAAAAACTTCCACAACTTACCCGCAGCCAAGAAAAAGACGTCTTAATCTTCCGCTCTCTTCCTCATGCCTCCAGCAGTCCATGACGGTTTCAAAATCCCCAAAAGAAGCGGGGGCAGAGTTGTCTGTAGCGGCCTTTTCCTGTTTGTTAAATTGACGAATTTCATGGGAAATTTTTGACGATGAGCCACTATGCTCGAAGCGACCTACAGTGCGCAAAAGAGAAGAAAGAAATCGCGACCTGACCGTGTTTTAAGATTGGATCGTCTCCACACATCGAGCATGTGGGATCACGTAGTATAGCACTAAACGAGCTCCGATAAGGCACTTCGAAGGCCGTAATTCGGCATTTTCTAAAGTCCATTGAGACCGGAAGCGTACCGTAATCCTTTCAGGTTAAGGCCAGCGAAACCGACAGGCATTATTGAGTGTCGACTCGATGACGAGTTTTGCTGTACGAATCCTGTCACGTTAATTTTTCATCTCGTATCGCATCCAGAATTTTATCATACAAGGCTTTAGTAGACCTTCGTGCGCGTAGGAACCAAATACATTGGACGTCGCCGGTGTTGCGAACACATCTGTTCATTCACGGCCACCATCTAATTAAGCGATGCAATGGGGAGCATACAGTCGATAAGATTCCGGTTCGGAACGGATGGTGATCATGTTGGGAGCTCGGACAGTAATGAATCTTTCCCTCTTGGGCCGATTTGGTTGTGAGGATAGAAAACATTAAGATGATCGGAAGAAGGGAACAGGAACCGCTACTAGGCATCGGATGGCCCGTTGATGTCCGCCGAGGTTCACACAGCATCCCATGAGCGCTTAAATAGGGTCCTTTGCGCTCAGCCTAACGTCAATTTTCGCACAGTAATGACTGACGCCGACCACCATGACTTCGACGACAGTGAAAGATCATCTTCGGCCTCCCCAGGACCAGCCCGAAGCACACCGTATACTTCTCGTACGAGTTCCTCTACACGTTCAGTGTCACCAACACTTTCGGTCTGGTCTATGACGAGCTCGTTGCGGGCAGAAGCGTATATTCAGGAGTTTGGACGCGACCTGAATAATATCTCGGAAATATACTACCTCCCCGCCGATGCAGAAGAGCTGGAGCGTCTAGGTGAGATGAACTTCGGAGGTTCCGAATCGGACATAACATAATTTAGACCGCCAGCACGAGATATTCAAAGAGGTGATGGGAAAATATATTCCCCCGTTGCCGCAAGCCATGGCGGACGATGCGCCTGGCGAGACGAAGGCCGTTTTGGACTTGGGTTGCGGTAGTGGCGCTTGGTATGTTATCTCTCTTCTCCTTTCGAGATTCGATTAACCATCCGGAACCAGGATAATGGAAGCGGCGGTTGACTTCCCGCATTGTAACGCCGTTGCCATTGACCTCGTCCCCATGCAATCGCTGTATGCCCTTCTTCGTTCTTGCATTCGGAAATCACTAACACGCATTGGTATTCACCAGCAATATGCCTCCTAACTGCAGGTACGAAGTCGCGACGCGTCCCCCCTGAAATTGATTTCCAAATTGACGGCCAAGCAGGAGCGAAGTTGATGACGTCAATCTCGGACTGGAGCATTTTTACGGGGACTTCAATGTTGTCCATTGTCGGCTCATATCTTCCGGTGTAAGCGCCATTTCCAACTCGTACGCATCCTTCCTCGAATTCTATCCCTCCGCGTAGATCCAAGATTACGAACATATGATCGACCAAATAAGTCATGTCCTACGGCCGGGAGGATTGATCGATCTTACGGAATGGGATTTTCATTGCTATAACGAAGATTTCCAACGTATTGAATTGGATGATGTGGCTCCGACTGAGAAACCATGGTGGCCACGATGGTTGGCATACCTCGAGATGGCTGCACGAAGTAGAGGCGGGGACGTTAACGCGGCGACTCATATCTACGACTGGGTTTCGCGTCATCCGCGGTTTGAAGATGTGATATACAACGAGTATTTCATTCCCGCGACACCGTGGGTCACAGACAGCACATTGGATTTGCATATCGGAGTGGCAATGAGGGAAAATGTTCAGGTGAACCGATCCTAGAGTTGTCATCACGGAGGGCCTGAATTATCATTTCATAGATATTCCTAAAGTCGGGGCGGCCGTTGTTATTGGGCAGTGGCGTGCCGGAACAGCTCGTGAATGAGCTACAGGCGAATGCGCACAAGGAGCTGATGGAAGATGATACACGCTATTACATACGCGTCCAAAGCGTCTATGCTCGCAAACTTCACCGGTCGCAACCCGATGGTTAACAGAGACCGTTATTGCCTCCATAGACCATAGCTGCAACATATTATGGGTAGCTATCTCAGTCCGTCCATCACAGTTCATCGTCTTAAGGAGAGAGATATGCAGCAGCCGATGCGCACAGGAGTGGTGCGTGGTGCGTGGTATGTTCGCCTATGTATCTGTCTGTTGTTGAGTCGCGCGGGAACGTGGTATGAGATGATTTCGGAGCTATACAGACGACTTTCATTCCGGAAGATATTTGAGGTGGAGTACTGTACTGTAGCTGTTCCAGCGAGAGTGGAAGTCCTAGAGGGGAAATCGGGAAGCATCGATGGGAGTGTCCCTCCTCCCATCACCTAACACGCGGGACTAGAAGCCACCTGATACCCCCATACGTATTTTGGTACGACGTCGAGTTTAAACCCCGAGAGAGATTCCTAAGCAGATGAGTTCAAGGTTCTTGTCATCCGATTACGGCTGGTGATGCCATTGGAGGAGATGATGTATATGATGTCTTGGCAAGGTGTGCCTAATGGCTTGATTACGAAGCGCCGAAGTAGAACAGGAAAATAGCGCACCATTTGAACCGATAGAACGTGTTTACCAGGCGGAGATGCGAATTACGCATGTCCATCGTTCATTCGATCTGGCTTTATGCTGTTTGATTGCTTTAGCACGATATGATCCTCCGCCTTCCACATTGAAGTCTGCGACGGCAGGCAATCATCCCATGCAGCATTCATTAACCAGAGTCGCGCGACTGCCAAGACATCCACGTTTTCTCCAGAAAACGTGGAAGGTGATAGTTGAATGCAGGTGTTTTGATTGATAGTAGATAAGATGGGAGTGATAGGACTAATGCGGGGTAGTCTTTAGATGAGCCCAGTGAAGGATACTGCCAAAACTAATTGCAAGGAAACGGGAAGAAGTCTGATAACAAGACGAACGTGGCACCGGCGCACCCCCGCATATCGACACTATCGTGAGCGATGGAATGGCGGACACACTGCTTGAACTGGACGGCTACAACAGTCGCAATGCCGAGAAACAGAATAGTGAACCGCAGACAGTCCACTCATATACATGTGGCTGAAGGTACTGTGAGGAGACCGAAGAACTGCTTGGAATGGCTTGCTGAACGAGGGGGAGTTCAAAGAGAAGCGATGCCGATTTCTGCAGCCCGAAGAACCCGGAATGACTAAGCCATAAATATAGAGAAAAGGCCAACTAACATCCATATTGAGCTGCGAGAAAAAGAGGATATAATAGAGACTCACGAGGAATAGCAATATATCAACATTACTTGGAGACTCTTTGACCATTCGTAAGTGTATCGATCCTCCATATCAGATGCTCTCCGTATTGAGCATCTTCTGGGAATGAGTCCTCGTAGCTGGGGAAATCGTTCCTTATGCCTGTCGCCAGTAGGCGAAGGTCCTCGCAAAACACATAGTATCCCAGCGTATGATGAGATGCGTCCTCCTAGACCTTCACCCATCCAGGACAAGCAGTAGGATAGACATGTTCGCTATTCTGCTTATTTAAACATATACGTCTTCCTCCTTTCCTTCTTCATCGTCTTTCGGCTCGACGTTCCAACAGCCTCAAGCGACTGGATTTAACATGAGATGTCGAGGCTGTGCTGAAAAGCAGAAAAGATGACATGTCGATGCTACCAAGCGC